GGTTGTGGACAGGGCATGATGGTGTTCCAGGCCTGTGATCCAGCACCAGGGAAGGTGAGGTAGGAGGATAGACAGACTGGGGCTAGCCTGGGCTACACAGACTTCCAGGCTACATAGTAAGATCCTGTCTCCAAAGTGAATAAATGGTACAGGATCTGCAAGTCTGGACTTGGGAGTTGGGGTCAGTGAGGGTCAGCTTTGTGACAGAGATCAGAGAAGAAACATCTAGAAGGTCCCAGGCTCTGGATGGACTGAGAAGTAATCCTTTCTGACATCTCCACTACTATGATGAAGAGGACAAATGCTGTACAAGCTACTTAGATAATGACCGTTACAACACATGGAGGACAGGACCTTACAACAGCTTCTGGAACAAGTATAACACCTGTCTTCCTCGACTGCCTAAGGTACCTACTGTGCCAGCCACAGTTGCCTGAGGTCTAGGACATGAAAACACACACACACACACACACACACACACACACACACACACCGTCTTAACATTGCAGTGACTTCCCCATCTGTAAAATTAGGGGTTTCTATTTTTTTTTTTTTTAGCTGACAATGGAGGCCAGGAGTTGGCCTGCAATAGACCCCTGGGTTTCAGTCTCTGCCCCGGCTTGGTGGTGACTTGTTAGTGTGCACTCCTTGACCGTTTTGAAGCCTGCCAAGTAGTACTGCCTCAGTTGATCTGGCTACTATGACTCCCTTGCGTCAATAATGAGCTTGGTCCTCCCTGACCCACCTTCCCCTCCTTTGTGACGGGAACAAGGGCGAGGAGACAGTTCAAAAGCAAGGTGAATACAGCAACAACTCCAAACAACCCCGAGACTAGGGGAGCTGATGAGGGGAGACTCTGAAGCCTGAAGACCGTTTGGGTATTCAGGGAAGACAACCCCTACCCCCACCCCCCAAAAAGAGTAAAATGCTTCCAGGATGCCGGGATGGAAACAGGAATGCGAGGAATGACGTTGGAGGACCCTCGTAAACCGGAGCGCCTCAACGCCTACGGTAAATGGCGGGTAGAGAGTTGAAGAGTATTGCTGGGTGTCAAGGAGGAAGCCAGAGGGCAGAATGGGGATCTAGAGAAGCTAGAGAGGGTGTAGTTGTGTGTGTGTCCCTGTTTTTGTCTCTGCCTCGGGCTCTGATCCTGCTTTTCCCATCCCTCTGGCTCTGTCTTTGGGTATCCTGGACTCTGGGCTCAGAGCGCGAGGTAGTGGTGAACATGCTGAACTCGTTGTCCCGGAACCGGACTCTGCCCCAGATTGCTCCCCGCTGCGG